TAAAATATGCATCTATGCCAAGAAGTGCCTATAGAAGGGTTTAACTTGGAGGGTTGTGGCAGGAAGTTCTTAGGTAAACAGGGAGAAGGGAAAACTTCATTATAAAGTTGTGGCATAGCAAAACATTTATGCTAACAGATTCACATTTGTTCAGTAGATGTCCTTTCCCAAAATTATTTTAGGACGCATTTAAAATGTAATACTGCGTACAATATCGATGTTTTTATAGTTCCCATAGACTAGATGGGAGATGTTGAAGTGTGTCTGCCAAAGTACAAAATACGTTTTCTTCCTAATACTGTTTTCACAGGAGTTTGAATGCTCAGGAGCATGATGTGTGTGTTTGTTTCTACCTGTGTAATTCCATGTGTGGCCTTAATAAAAGGTTGTTAGAAATATTTCCTATCTTGGTTAAATCTTAAATTGACTTTAAAAAAAAAAAAAGAGGCATGGGAAAAGGGCATTCATTTGTTTCTTTGAGTTTAGAAACAGTCAACCCTCCTAATTCAGAAAGTTAAATAAGATGAAAAGTAGGAGTTAAGTACTATTGTTAATAATCCAGAAAATGAGAAAGTTGAGTCAGTGTTCATGTGGTTAAAATTGTATTGTCTATGTCAAACAGACCTAAAATCCTTAATTGCTTGTACACAGTGTCTTCTCCTAGGGAATGAGAGTGTGGAAGACAGAGGGGTGTGAAGGAGGGAGGAAGCACTTATACTCTTTGCTGTATACTTATTAGTACTTACTTTTACATTGCACACAGAACTATCTGAGACTAAATTAAGAGAATAGGAGTTTATTTTTATTTTGACTCACAGTTCTGGTGGCTGAGAAATCCAGAGGCATTACAAAATGACAGAAGGCAGAACTTAGGGCTTTCTCTCTGCTGTTCTAGTTTTGTTCCTTTTGCCCATATACTCAGCAGAACACAATCATGGAGGCCCCATCGTAATGACAGTTTACACCCAGGGCCCCACCCTGGAACATCGTAAAGGAATTACACTTTTATTTAATACCTTAACAGTAAAATAAAATCCCAACATATGGATGTCTGGTGACATCCATTCACGCCCCCAAAGACCAAATTCCAAAACATGAAACTTTGGGGAGCAAACCGTAACAGTAAATGTGAATTACTTTTTTGTAAGTTAAAAAAGAAAACTGGGACTGGCCCTGTAGCCTGGTGGTTAAGGAATCCAGATCCCACATTGCTGACTGTGTTTCCGTATTCTAGCCTTGGTTCATTGAAAACCATGCCAGGTGCGTGCATGTGCCCAAAATTTCAAATGGAGGAGAGATTGCTGCAAGACTATGCCCCATTGGGAGGGCTTTCTCCCTCTCCCCCTCCTTCCCTCCTCTTTCTCCCTCTGGCAAGGCATATGCCCTTCAGCAATTAAAAAAGAGAAGAGAAAATTGATAGTGTTCTTAAAATACAAATTGGCTAAAATTATCTAAAATCCACATTCTGTATTTGAAAAAATAATTTTTGTTAAAAGGCTTTTTGTAAAATTTCTACAATAGTAAGTAGAATAGAAAATATATGACCTTTCAAAAAACACTATGAAGTAAGTTATAACTTCTAATTATGTGATATTTAGAACAGTTTGCAGTGTTATAACTTTAAAAAATTTTTATAAATTATAGAATACCTTTGACTATATTAGTGGGCTTTAAGCATATTTTCCTTTTTTTAAAATAATTATGTATTTAATTCATTTGTTGTTGTTTTGACTTTGTTTTTGTGGTTTTGTTTTTTGTTTTTGTTGTTGTTGGTGGTGGTCTTGTTTTGTACAGAGAGAAAGGGAAAGGGAGAAAGCAAGTCTCCAGGTCAGAGACTCAAACTGCAGTCGGTCATGTGAGAGTCCAGCACCTTAACATTACGCCACCTGCTGGCTCCTACATATGCTCCTGCATACTTTGTTGTATTGATTTATTTGAAAATTAAAATTATTCAATCTAAAAAAATTATTAAACAGAACATTTTTTTCTGAAATAATGCATTGGGCAACATAAAAACTGGTAGCTATGTGAATTACACTTCGTTTAATTATTTATGTGAATAACTCATTTAATTTCTTGTGATATGGGAGTATCATTATCCCCATTTTACAGATGAAATAACTAGCTCAGCTTCTATACTAGTAATTGATAGGACAAGGGGTTAAATTTAGGCACCATTTAGTCCTGTCCTAGGTTTTCCTCCTCTTTCTGTTTCATTTTGGTTTTCTTCAGAGTTCTTCCTTCTACTTGATCTTTAAATCGGAGGTTTCTGAGGCCTTGACCCTAGGTCTCCACTGCTGCAGGCACTCTCACCCACACCTATGGCTTCAATTACCATGTAGAATATGATCAGCTCCCAGAATACTCAGAAGTTTTTGCACCAAAATTTTAATTCCATTCTTCCGTGAAATTTTCTTTCTTCCTTTTCTTTCTTTCTTTATTTTTTTTTTTTGTTTGTTTCTGTTTTTTTGTTTTGCTGTAGGGCATATGAGCTTACCAGAGAGAGAAAATCCCCTCAGAGAGGGATTTTCCTCTCAAGATTTTGGGCATGCACACACACAGCATGATTTTCAAGCCTCTGATCTGGGGCTTGAACCGTGCCTTAACCTCCATACCTCTTGCCCTGAATTTTTTTTTTTTTTTTCAAATTTGACAGAGGTATACATGAGAAAGAGAAGGAGAGAAAAAGCACCCCCTTATGGGGAATGTTTATGCTGCAGTCCTCTCATTCATCTCTCCTTCCCCTTGGGATTTTGGGCATGTACACACGAGCCTGGCATGTTTCTCAAGTAGGCAGGTCTAGGACTCAAACCGTGCCATGCAGGATCCAGCCCCCTCAACCACAGTGCCGCCAGCTAGCCCTTTTCCGTGAAATTTTTAAAGTCTTCTCACATATCTAGCTCAAAAGTGCTTCTGAGCTCTATACCTAAATATCCAACTGTATCCTTAGTACCTTCAAAAGTTAACTCCGAATCTGTTCTGTGTTGCCTTTCGTGTGTGTGTGTGTGTGTGTGTGTGTGTGTGTGCGCACGTTAAGTGATGCAAACCCACCTGCTCAACAGAAGCCTAGGAGTCACCCCCAAGTCCTCCCTCTCCTAGTTCCCATAAACAGTCACCAGGTCCTATTTATTGTTTCTTGTATCTCTCTGATTCAGCTACTTCCCTAAGGAAAGTTTGCCCCACCCTATTCTTTTTTACAGGGCTTAACCCATTGTGCTACAGGGATGGCTCTCCCTCCACCTTATTCCACCTTATTCATTTTTTTTTTTTTTTTTTTTGGAGAGGTTTTTCTCTATAGGGCGCATGCGCTCGCCAGACAGACAGAGACAGAGAGACAGAAAGTGAGAAATCACCCCCCCAGGGGGGGATGGTCATGCCGCAATCCCTTCTCCTCCATTCTCCTCTCGGGATCTTGGGCACGCACGCACACGCGCCCGGCGTGAGTTTTAAGCCACCGGGTCCAGGACGTGAACCGCGGTCGACTACGCGGGAGTCCAGCGACATAGCCATTACGCTAACTGCTGGTCCCCCTCCACCTTATTCTTAAATGGGGTCTACCTAATGTACATTCCTACAACGCCCTGTACTTGACTTTCTCCCCCTTTGTAACATTCTCCATAATGCTTTCACCTACTTAGGTTAATTTTTCATTTCCATTCTTTTAGAATGAAATTTAACTTTTCATTCCTGTATAAATGTCTTTTAATGGCAGGAACCAATGCTCCCTTGTTTGTTATATCCCACTGGCTAGCAGAATGCCTGGCACATTAAATATTTGCTGAATGTGAAAAAATGAAGAGATAGGTTTTAGGAAAATCCATTACAAACAAGAATGGGCAGTGTGGAGGGTGAGCCCAGAGACAGACCTGAAAAACAAGATTTCCATTAGTCAGGCCACAGAAGAGAGCTAAGGAATCGGCATGGGGTTGGGAGAAGAGAGGAGCGGGGCCTGTCTTCGTATGAGGAAACAGGAGGGCGTGTCAAGAACGCAGATTTTGGCTTTGGCACTGACCCTCTTAAGGAGGGTCAGGAACGAAGGGAAGAATAAGCACTTCAGTTTGGGACCTGTAGACTTTGAAGAACGCCTTATAGCATCAGGTGGGGATAATCAGTAGACAGAAAAGTAGATTTCAGGAGAGATCTACAGGCTTTGTATCATTGATGAGTAAAGCCAGTAAAGGACAACCAGAGATTCGAATGTAAACTGATAAAAGCATTTTTTAATTTTAAAATTATTTTTAATTTACCCAATAATGGTTTGTATTTATGGAGTACAACATGATTACTTTGGGAGCAGGAATACAACGTGTAATGATCAAATAAGGGTAATTAGCATATCCACCTCAGACATTTATCGTACTTTTCTTTGGGGGGTAAAAGTTTAATCACTGAGGGACCAGCAGTTAGCATAATGGCTATGTCGCTGGATTCCCAACTAGTCCACCGCAGTTCGCGTCCCGGACTCGGTGGCTTAAAACTCACGCCGGGCGCGTGTGCATGCGTGCCCAAGATCCCGAGAGGAAAATGGAGGAGAAGGAATTGTGGCGTGACCATCCCCCCTGGGTTGTGGTTTCTCGCTTTCTGTCTCTATGTCTCTGTCTGTCTGGCCAGTGCACGCGCCCTGTAGCGAAAAACCTCTCCAAAAAAAAGAAGTTTAATCACTGAGAGTTTTTGTTATTTGCACAGATTTGGTGGATATTTTGATTCTTTTTTAAATTGAGAATGGATTTTATAAACATACTGTGTGTCATACAGAAAATGGGGTGTTTATATTGATTGTTTGTGTCCTGTGACTATTAGCTGTGAGCCCTATGACTTTATAATGTTCATGTTAAACTGTTAGGTGTCATTTTAATTATGTAATTTTGTTCATGCTAATTTGCACCTTTTTTTTTTCTTGAAGACAAAAGCAAAACTTAGGCTTGTAGGGAGCTCCAGAAACTGAAAGCTTCGTGAGAATTTACTGCATGTGATTAAATTTTTCTCTCTTATTTCTCTAGGGCCTATTCCCTGGTGGACTCCAGCCAAGTGTCTACATTTCTGATTTCCATTCTTCTTATAGTCTATGGTAGTTTCAGGTAAGATGCTCTCAAAATGGGGTTGCTTTCAGATTTTGGGGGGGTTGGAGGCAGGAGAAGCATTGCTCTGAAAGCGCTGGCACCGAAACATAACTATTCAATGAAAAATAATAGGACTTTGGCAGGAATTCCATTAGAACTGGGATAATTTTAATATTTGCTCTTTAGTTGGCTGCTGTTAAACACTTTTTGGTTTTTCTCTGACTTCAGCATATTAATGCAAATGTGAAAAACTTAATTGCTTAGAATTCTTGTTCTGAAAATAATGACTCACCTAAGAGCACTCATTATTGGAAAGGGTAAGGAGAGAGTTCTTGACAGTGATTCTAGAATTTCAAACGGAACAAAAAGTTAAAATGGAAGAACAATTTGAAATATGAAAAAATATTCATGTACTAAAAGATAGACCCAGTCTCTGTGATGCAGCAGAGCATGCCACTGCAGTGCTGAAGCCATGTGAAAGATCAGGGGTTCAGTTCCCCAGTCAACCTGTACATGCTCTGTGTACATGCATGCATGCCCATGATCCTGGCCGGTTGGGAAGACTGGGGGAAGGATCACAGTGTGAGACTCCTCTCTCTCAGTAAGTAAAAAAATTAAAAAAAAAAAAAAAAGAAAAGAAAGAGAAAAGAAAAGGAAAAAATAAAAACAACAAAGAGAAAATGTTATTTTTAATTTTTCTTACTAAAAATCAAAGTGTATTCTCAAAGCTTTAATAGTCTTTTGACAAAGACCAGGAAGGGCAAAGTAAAGCTAATGGAGTTTTTGTTTGTTTTTTTATCTTGTCCTGAAATGCTTTTTAAATAGAGTGTAGCCTTTTGTGGAAATGTACGTTGTATTTTCCTGGATACAGACACTGGCATAGGTTGAGCCATTCAGAATTGCCAGTGGTGGACTTCTTTGACCCATAGAAACAATTTCATGTGGTTCAACCTACTATTATTAGAGATGTGCATAGTGCATTACCAAATATTCCCCCTGCTGACCATGGTAATGCTGAAACTGGATCCTGATGAAATTCCCATCCTACCAGGGAGCAGACCATAGGAATATGATGGAAAGTCAAGAAGCAAGACTTTCACTCCCTTCTTTCTACTATCCTTAGTTGAGAGGAACTTTAGAGGTTGTGTAAGTCAAATAGTTTTGTGGCTAATACACTTACAGGTAAGGCTACTTGAGAAATTTTAAATTAAGAACTTGAGTGGAGTAATGGAGATAAATGAAATAGTCAGGCATATGGATTTTGAATTATGAATATTATGTCCATATTTTAATGGCTACTTTCTAAAATCACAGACTTGCAGTCTTTACTTCAGCCCTGAGTAGAACAAGGGAAATACTGTTGGTAATTCCAGTATAAACTGATGAAAGTGAGATATCTGTTGAGAGCCCTGTATTCATAACTGCTAATGCTCTTAGCATTGATTAGTAACCCAGAGCAACTGAATTGCATCAGGATCTTGATATTTTGTATCTCTACTTTTTGGATAAGTATCTGTTTTGTTTTTTACCTCTTGAGTATATAATTTATTGATATTTCAAAAGACTTGGCAATGAGGAAAAAAAAGACACAAAGCAATCTTTAGACCCCACCAGGATAACACAGGAGGTAGGATGCAGTACCCCTCTGCAAGGCTGGCACCTTTTGGGAGCCTGGGTCCAGATTCTGGACCATCCTGGACAGACCAGCCACAGTGGTGCATGCCTGTAATCCCAGTGACTCACAAAAGCCCAGGCAGAGGATCATAAAGATGAGACTGTCAAAAAATATCTATAGGGCCTGATAGTAGGCATCATCATTTATTTTTGCATAAAATACATCATTAAAGTTTAAAAGACATGCATAGCAGTAAAATGCATTGTTCTGCAAGGTAATTACACTTGGGAAGGTTCCCAGTTCAGGTCCAGATACTTCCCTGAGTATACTGGGCATACACCCATAATCCAGAGCTAGCTGACTACTGGTTTTAGATCATGCTGTCAAGACCCTGTTGAGGATGCTATCACTCCTTCTACCCCTTCCCTCTCTCACATAAATTCTCATTAAAAGACAAAAACAAAAACACCTCCTTTAGACTCACAACCCCAATACAGTTCATATCCTTGGGCTCTATATCCATAGATTCTGTCAATCATGGATCAAAAATATTCAAGGAAAAAAAATTGGTTCTGTCTGTACTGAATTGGTTCTGGAACCAGTCCCCTGCAGATACTGGAGAATGGACTGTACTGCAGTTGACCTTTAAGTGACATGGATTTGAACTATACCAGTCTACTTGTATGTGGCTTTTTTTGGTTGGTTTGTTTTTAAGAGAGATTTTTGCTATAGCGTACATATCCTTGCCAGAGACACAGAGAGAGAGAAAGTGAGAAATCACCTCTCAGAGGGTATGGCCACACTGCAATCCCTTCTTCTCCATTCTCGGGATTTAGGGCATGGCCACACAAATACCTGGAGTGAGTTTCAAGCCACTGGGTCCAGGACTTGAACTGCAGTTGGCCATGTGTGAGTCTAGCACACGTTAACCATTATGCCACCTACTGGCACTTGTACATGGGTTTTTTTTTTCCAATAAGTACTGTCAATGTATTTTGTTTATAATTTGTATACAGTACATTATATACATAGCATACAAAATATGTATTGGTTTATGTTGTTATTAAGGCTTCCAGTTAGCAATAGACTATAAGAAGTGAAGTTGTAGAGAGTCAAAAATTATACGCAGATTTTCAAATGTGTAGTAGGTTGGTGCCCCAACCCTCACTTTGTTCAAAGTTCAACTTTATTTTCTTTGGTGCTAATTACCTTTTGTTTGGCATACACACATCCCTTGGTATCCATGGGAGATCGGTTCCAGGACCCCCAAAGATACCAAAATCCACTGATACTTAAGTCCATTACATAAAGTGTAGTATTTGCATGCAACCTACACACAACCCCTTGTATACTTTTTATCATTCTTGAGATTTCTTTTTAAAGAGATTTTTGCTATAGGGTGTATGTGCTCAGTGGAGAGAAAGAGACAAAGAGATAGAAAGTGAGAAATCCCCCCCGACACACACGGGGAATGGCCACACTGCAATCCCTTCTTCTCCATTCACCCAGGATCTTGGGGACACATGCACACATGCCCGGCATGAGTTTCAAGCCACTGACTGGGTCCAGGACTCAAACTGTGGTCAGCCGTGTGGGAGTCCAGCAATGTAATTGCTATGCCATCTGCTGGGCCATCGAGATTACTTTTAATACCTAGTATGATGAATAATAATAAGGAAAAGAAGTCTGTACATAGTCAGTTTAGAAACAACCAGGCTTTTCCCCCCAAATATATTTTCAGTCCACAATTGGTTTAATCTGTGGATGTGGAATGTGTATATTTGCATAGTTGAAATAATTTATATCGATTCCTTTCATCTAACAAAAATGTTTTCTGCAGTCATGTTCATATGTGTTTTTAGTAATTTGACATTTCTTTGTGTTACTATCTTATTCCACTTTTGGTGGACATATGGGTTGTTAGTTGTCATCCTCTTATGTATTCTTTTGCTTTGGTTGAATTATATCCTAGGATCAATATCCAAAAATTTAAATGTTTCACTAGAGAGTATAAATTGGCTCCTACTACATATTGCCATATTGTTTCCCAGAAGGGTTGGACCAGTTTAGGATTGGGAAGGGTTTTTTTTTTTTTTTTTTTTTTTTTTTAAGAAAAAAATTATGTAATGTATGTACCACAGAATTATATAGATGGAAAGAGTTTCTCTGGTGAACGTTTCTATTTACAAACGAGGAAACTGAAGCCCAACAGATGATGTAATTGAGAAAGATGACATACAGACTGGTAACTAAGTCTAGATTAGAGCACTGCTCACTGCTCAAGACCGGTTTAGTACCGCATGTCTTTTCAACTTTAAAAATGCATTTTCAGGAACTTCATGATGCTACCTTTATACTGCATCTAAAAATATTTTTTTCTTACAGAGAGGATGTGTGTTTGTCAGAGTGAGAGAGTGGGTATGGGGACCAGTAGTTGATGTAATGACTATGTCGCTGGACTCCCATGTAGTTGATCACAGTTCGAGTCCCAGACCCAGTGGCTTAAACTCACACCAGGCGTGTGTGTGTGCATGCCCAAGATCCCGAGGGGTGAATGGAGTAGAAGGGATTGTGACGTGGCCATCCTCCCTGGGGGGAGGGTGATTTCTCGCTTTCTGTCTCTCTGTCTCTCTCTCTGTCTTTCTGGCAAGTGCACGTGCCCTCTAGCAAAAACCTCTCCAAAAAAAAAAGAGAGAGAGAGAGAGTATGTGTACTTGTCAGACCAGTGGGGTATGGTCATGCCACAGTTCCTGCTCTATTTCTGCATCTTGTCATGATTTTAGATATGCACGCACACATCTTGGATTTTTCAAGCTGCTAAGGCCAGGATTTAAATCATGTAGGTCATGGTGATCTGGCTCCCTTAACCTCTAGGCTACAGGGCGAACTCACTATATGATACATTTGAATTGAACTTAGTGAGGCCTAGCTTAGTGGCACAGAGACAGTGCAGTGCTCTGCAATGCTGGAAGCCACATCAAAGACTGTGGTTCAATTCCCAAGTCAACCTGCCAGGTCAACCTGTACATGCCAGTCATGCATATGTGCCTGTGAGCCTGACTGGTGCTGGGAAGGCTAGGGGTATGGCAAGACTTGCGACATGAGACTCCTGTTGCTTGTCTATCCATCTGTCTGTCTGTCTGTCTGTCTCTCTCTCTCTCTCTCTCCCTCCCTCCCTCCCTGGCAAGTGCAAACACCCTCTGGCAAATTTGAAAAAAATGTTTATAGTTACACTTCTTACATTTAATCCTATGGTTCATTTTGAATTGCTTATGTGACATAACATAGAAATCTAAATTCATCTTTACGAATGTAGCCATCCAGTTGTCCCTGCATCATTTGTTGAAAATTGTCCCATTGAGGGGCCGGCAGGTGGCGTGGTGGTTAAGGGCACTGGACTCCC